AGGGAGGGTGCCTCAGATTTGATTGTAGCCGTAGGAGAGCTACTAAGGCTTAGGAGGCTAATTGATCGGAAGGCTCGGACCACTTCCTGTGGGAGCTCCCGTGTCAGGAACAAGTATACCACAGCACGGCATAATAGACTGCGGAGGTGTATCCTCTCTACGACACCTTTACATATGTAGGCAATAGAGCACCACGCGGGTCTAGCTTCGGAGTGGGACTGCGAGCTTCTCCAAGCATGGATTTTCTTTTCCGCGTCTTCCCATTATGTCAACTGTTTCTGTCACGTTGCCTCAGACACCGACGGTCAGCGCAGAAAATAGGTGCAGCGGCACTGAGCTGCAATCTAGCGACACCAAGAAGGAATCTGTTGACGTTGAGCCGCAGGAGGTGGAAGAGAAAGGTAGCTCGCTCTCAGTAGAAAGTTCTGAGGCAGAAACAGATGGGGCACAACGGGGGAGTTCGATGGATAGCTCGCAGTGGCTCGCTTGTATCGCACTAGGGTTGAGCTATTCGACCTCTATTCAGCAGCATGCTTCTACTGCAACTATTGTTCATCATATCGATGCTGCTTTGGGTGAGTTTGACGGTCACCACCTATGGCACCAGTCGTTGATGGATTATGTTAGGGCCGACGTCGTATTACAATTGGATCTTGTCTGGACACACTATCGCTGTCTCGCTTTCCTTGCCTCTCGCTGGTGGTCTCAGCGACATATTTGGTCGCCGATGGTTCTTCATTGTGGGATGCATGTTGTCGTTCTCCGGGACCTGTATAGCGTTGGGAGCTCAGGATATTCCAACGATGATTGCTGCCTTGACATTAAAAGGCTTTGGGGCCGGAGCGCAAACACTTGCGTAAGTATCTGCACAAACCTGCAACACTATGCTGATGAAGACACAGCATCGCAGCCATTGGCGAGATTGTGCCGAACAAGCATCGAGGCACGGCGCAAGCTGTACTGGATCTCGTGACACTCCCATGGAATGTTTTTGGCGCCATGATCGGCAATTCCATGGTCAAGCATTATGCCTTGTCTTTCCGCATCAACTTCATCATCGGTATCCTGCTTAATGCTTTGACTATTGCTATGATCTATTTCTTCTACCATCCAGTGGGTTACGATCATTTCCATCGACCGTCACCCCAGCTAACGCATTCCCAGCCTAGAGGGAGTCTCCCATCCGGTATAACCAAGCTTCAAGCCCTCCGTGACCTCGATTGGACCGGCATGGCTCTTTATGGTATCGGTATGTCTCTGACCCTCGTGGGCATTGCTTTCGGCGGTACCACCTTTCCCTGGAGATCGGCTGGCGTAATTGTCACCATCGTTCTTGGATTACTCTCATTCATCGCATTGGGGTTATGGGAGTGGAAAGGCGCGCGCAACCTCTTTTTCGCACACGAAATGTTCCGAGGACGGTCGAGCCGCTTCCCTATTGTGCTAGGTCTCACATTTGTGGCTGGTATGAGTGCTTATGCTTCGAACGCCTTCTGGACGCAACAGAGTCAAGCCATGTTCTTCTCTGACCCAGATAAAATCGGGTTGAGTTCTTTGCCTCTTGGTATCGGTGGTGCAGGTAAGTCTTCTTGTATTGCTTTTAAGCAAAGCATACCGTCATTGACGTAACAATCTTCAAAGTTGGCGGCTTTATCAGCGGCATATGCATAGGCAAATACCGTTTCAGCAAGGCGAACTACATGCTCCTCTACGGCGTCTCCCTCAAGGTAATCGCAGACGCAATGTTCATCTACGTAACGCCAGACCGCCTCACCCTCGCCCTCGTCGCCGGCTTCGTCGGCATGTTCGGCATGGGCATCGTCCTCATTGGTGTCATCGTCTGCGTCCAACTCACTTGTCAGGACTCCCACATCGGTCTCGCGACGCTGGTCATGAAGTCGATAATGTGTATGGGTGGCAGTGTCGCCATCACTATTTATTCGAGCATCATGCAGAATACCGTCCAGGAGGAGGTGGGACCTAGGGTGGGAAAGGCGGTTGTGCCGCTCGGGTTTTCGAGAGAGGGGTTGCCCAAGCTGATTCAGTTGCTGATGGGCGGTAGGGACAAGGATGCTAGGAGTTTGCCTGGTGTTACGGGGGCGGTGATGAAGGCGGTGGGGCGGGCTATCAAGTGGGCTTGGAGTGTGGCGTTCAAGTGAGTCTTCCCCTTTTGTCTTTCCCCCATGGAAGGCTCTCCACCCGAGAGTTGTCCCTTTTGCTCATGAGATCCGCTCTCTCTAGGCGCATCTACTATGCCTCTATTGCGTTCACTTGCTTGGCATTTATCCTTGCCATCTTCGTGTCGGATGTCAGCGAGAACATGACGAATCGGATCGCGGTCACTTTGTCGAAGGACAAGACGAAGAAGGATCGAGAGAGCAGCGAAACGGGACCGAATTAATGAACCATCCGAGATTTCATGCGGAAATACCTAAGAACGCTCACACCTGTCAGCAATTATTCTTCAGGGCTTTTCGATAACGACACAATGCAGTATAAGTCAACCTCACATTATTCGGGCCGGACTTGTCAGAACAGATCTACAATACAGCCTCTGATAGCGCACAGTACAGACGTGGCCTAGTTCGCCCCGCCCTAGCCAAGAGTCAAGATGTTCTTAGGTTGTATCGCGTAGGCTGAGCTGCCGAAAGGCTACGATGATGCCCGAGGCTGGAATCAATGAGCGGGAGTACTGGGATTGTATATGCATATGTGGAATGAGAATTCAGGTCTGAGGATGAAGGATAATATACAGTAAGTTTACTACTTTGGGTGACTTGTCTGAAATGTCTGGTCTTGGCTCTAGTAAGCAAGGGGTGTAAGTTAGCGGTGTTGGGCTTCTGGAATGGGGTATGGTATGGGGAGAGATTCGAATGAGTTGGATGTTGAGTTGGTGGCTCATTGATGCATGAATGTGTTGGAAAGTGCTCTTTGGCTCGCAATCGCGAGATAAAGGTAAATTTTGAGAACTCTTGAAGAGCACTGGAATGGACTGCAGAGAACTAAGTCAAGGGCCGAGGAAAGCAAAGGAAGACTCTCCTTTCTGAAAAGTGTACCTGTCACTTTGGCCTGTAAGCGAAATGGCGACCGCCGGTTTCCTTGCTTACAAGTCAGAGCGGCGGATACTTTAATACCTCTTGTCAAGCGAATATCATAAATTTTGAATCAGGTACTCAAGCTAAATCTATGGTAATTACTCGAACGAAGGGATACAAGAGACCTCGCGTTCTTAAGCAGTAGGTTTTGCTCGTAACACTGAGGATTTATAATTCCAATCGATCCTGTGGTGCTGTCAGCATCACCTCTGCGAGATGGAGACGGCCACCCCAATCGAAAGTACTAACGATGTCTACTTCCTGAAAGGGACCCGTGGACCACACGCAGCCATTCGATTGATGGTCCAACACTGGCTCTACAAAGACCATTTTGGTTGGAACCTTCACCCCACAATCCGAGCCTCTTTTTCATCCGATCGACCCATAAGAATGGCAGATATAGCAACCGGCCAGGCGTAAGTACTTCACATCCACTCATCCCTCCGATGTTCTAACCCATCCCAGAACATTCCTAATGGAAGAACACCCGCACCTCCCCCCCGGCTCGCAAAGCTTCGGCTTCGACATCTCCCCAAACATGTTCCCAGCAACCGACACCCTCCCACCGGGTATGTCCCTCCACCTCGTCGACGCAGCCAGCGAACCCTTCAACGTATCCCCGCACCTCCTCGGAACCTTCGACGTCGTCAACATCCGTCTCCTAGTCGCCTGCGTGCAAAAACAACGACCCACGCCCTTTCCTCAGAAACGCCCTGGCGCTCCTGAAACCCGGGGGTTACCTGCAATGGACAGACGTCTTCACACCAACCCACATCCTCGGCGCCTCGACCGAAACCAATAAAACAAACCCTTCTGTATCGCGAGGCCTCCTCGACTCCCTGCTCGCCAAGATCGGGTTCCCGGGCTGGGAAGACGCGTGGATGAACCACCTCCCCTCCCTCTTCGAGGAAGCGGGTTTGCGCGAGATAGAGGTCGTGCAGTTGGGTGTTCCGCGCAGGGAGATGTGGAGTTCGTGGGGCGCCAATACGCTCAGTTATTTGAGGGAGAGTTTGGGGACGGGGGATAAGGAGGGGAAGGGGGAGAGGGAGGTGCTTGTTGAGGAGTTGGAGAGGGAGTATGCGGGGGGCGTTTATGCGGCGAGTGAGCCTAGGGTTGTTGTTGGGAGGATGGCTGAGAGGGCGAGGCTTTAGGGAGGTGTGGGGATCGGGAGAGGTGAGGTGGTGGGTGGGGTTTGGTGGTTGTGTATATCTCTATAGATTGGACCCTTTCTCGTGTTCGTTGGAGTAATGTTTTTTATCGAGCTCTTTCGTAAAAGGTGCCGGCGATTCTTCTTGGAATAGGGGATGTCATGAGCTAGCTCCACACGTTTTGGATGTCCCGAAATCAATCATGTTCCATGCTGAGCTGGTCAGTATGTCGCCGCCTAGATTTGAGACAAAATTCAAGCACGATCATCAGCAATTCACATAAAATGACGAACAAAGAAACTCCAAATTCGCCAGAAGCAACCTCTCCAAACGGGCAACACAGAAGCAGAAAACTTTCATCAACTGGCGAAAAGAATGGGGATGATGGATGAAATGAGAGTAAGAGACCATAGAAGAAGAACCTACGAAATAAAAATACTTGGTAGATCGACGTCCTCGCGAAAGCAATTCAGTGACGAATACGTACGAAATATCAACCAACGGCCCAACACCACCAGCTCGCCCCACAGATCTCGATAGCATCATCGAACTCTCAATTCATAGAAGCAAACTCAAAGGACGAAGGAAGGAAAAATAGGGTCAACAATAAAACATGACTGAAAAACCGCCGAGATGCTGAGCCAAAAGTAAGACCTCAACATCCTTGAAAGTTTAACACATCCAATCCCGTAAGGTAATAAGATAGCTATTCCGCACACCACAACGACAAGAAGCCTGTCAAAAAAGACACCAGCATTGCGTGGACCGAGAATCGAACTCGGGGCCCGTGCAACTCGCTCATGGCAAGCACGGATTTTACCACTAAACCACCCACGCTTCATTTCTTTGTTGATGCCGGGTGCTTTTCAAATCCTAATTATGCTGATTATGCAAGATGGACTGCGTCGATTCGAAAACCCAGCATTTGTGTGCCAAGAACGATGGCGGGGCCCCACGAAATATCAAGAATCCCCTTGGAGATTGTGTAATTGGACGAACTATCCTTATATATCGTTTACAGGGAAGAGAACATCTATTATTTGGCTACGTTCCCATTCTGTGCTCTGTTCGGCGACTCTGGCTGATGCCCGGGTTGCTTACACTCGAGATGAACGAGCTGATACTAGTACACGAGAACACCAAGTGCGTGACGTATGGTTTCGCATCATCTGGACGTGGCGGGGGTTGTTATCGATAGTCAAGATTACGAGGCCGAAGCCGAGATCGCAAGGCTGACAGTTGTAACCGAGGTCTATTTGTTATTGAAGGGCGTCGCTTCGATTGGAAAATTTATTTCTCTTATAATAGTAGTGTGCCAGTAGAGGGAATTGAGGGTGCGGTACGAAAACGACACGACAGGATACATCTTAGGGTCATGGAAAAGAGATGAAACGCGGGTTACACCAATGCGTCTCGTGAAAATATGATTTTTGTGTATAGAGTGATCATCGAGACATAAACCACCGCAGACAGGTTTTTGACCTTAGTGTATCTCGCCGTTGATGGGAGACGAAGTGTCATCTGCCAGCTTGAGCAACACAGTCTTGTGTTCGAGGTAATTGTCCAAGCTGTAACCAATTCCTTCACGGCCCTGACCAGATTGTTTGTAGCCACCGAATGCGCCGTCCTTGGCCAATGTCGGACTTGTACAGTTGATACCAACTTCGTTCATAATTAGCTCCAAATACAAATCGATCTCACCAGAGGATGCACTTACCTGTTCCCGCTTCCATGGCTTTTGCAACTCGCATGGCGCGATCGATGTTCTTAGAGTACACGGCCGAGTAGAGACCGTATTCCGAGTCCACAGCTTTAGCAATTGCTTCTCTTTCCGTCTTGAAGACATTGATGTTGACGACCGGACCAAAGATTTCCTCCTTCATCGGACGTGCGTCTTCTGCCTGCCCTGTGATGATGGTAGGCTCGATGAAGAATCCATTTCCGCCTTCCAATTTGAGTGCACCACCGCCGGTCTCTACCTTGCCTTGGCCTTCTTTGACAAGCCTCAGATATTCTTGGACTCTGTTGAATTGGATCTCATCGGCCTGGGGGCCATGGGTCGTCGCTGTGTCCATTGGGTTTCCAGGTTGGATGGCGACAAACGCTTTTGTGAAAAGCTCCTTGAATTTGTCGGCACAGGTATTTTGAACATAGATACGAGAATTGGCGACACAAGCTTGACCGGAAACGTACTTAATACTGAAGGCCGTTTCGATGGCCGCTTTTTCGAGGTCTGCGTCGTCGAAGATAATCGTGGGTGATTTACCGCCCAGCTCAAGGATAACCCTTTTCAAATTGGACTTGGCTGCGGCTATGGAAACAAGTTTTCCTGTCGGTCCGGAGCCAGTGAAATTGATGCATCTGACATCCATGTGTGCGGAAAGGGTCGATCCTGATGGCTGTCCATACCCAGCAATGACATTGACGACGCCAGGTGGAAACCCAGCCTCTTTAACAAGTTGGGCGATTTTGATAGACTACCGTCGTGGTTAGCTAAGGACAATCTTGCTCATAAAAGAGGTACCACACCGAGAGCGGAGCCTTCTCGCTGCTTTTCAGGACGATAGTACAGCCTGCAGCAAGCGCAGGACCTGGTTCCTGTTAGCCATGGAAAGCGAAGGACAGGGCGAGGAAGTCATGCCCAGCTTGTGCGACAACAATATGATTGGCACATTCCACGGAATGATTGCACCCACGACTCCAATAGGCTGTCGAAAAGTCATGTTGATGTAGCCAGGCGTGTTCAGACTCGTGTCGCCCTTTGGCCAAGCAGCTTCCGCAAAGTGTGCAAATTCAGCAGCGGCACTCGCAGCGTCACCATAGGTCGAAATTGGTCTCCCCATGACTGAGCAGTCAAGAGCTGCCAAGTCTGAAGAAGCCGCCAGGATGAGTTCCGAGAGCTTCTTCAGGTAAGCTCCTCGTTGAGGAGGGCCCAATGCGGCCCATGATGGAAAAGCTGCCTTGGCTGCTGCAACCGCCTTGTTGGTGTCTTCTTCAGTCGCTTCACATACTATGATAGATAAGCTTCATGGATGCCACTGTAGAAGGGAAGGCAGATACCTGTGGCAACCTTCTTGCGGTCATACGGAGAAAAGACATCAAAAGTTTTCCCATCTGACGAGTTTACAAACTTGCATCATGTTAGATTGGAGACCATTCATGAAATGTGTCCAACATACCTCTCCGTTGATGAAGAGCCTGCCTTCGATCTCTGCAGGTAAGCTTTGGATCCCCATAATTGTCAAGTTGCAAGAATATGTTTTCGACTGAAAATCCAGGACTGAGAGTGCAGACACTATATGAGTCCTGCGATGCTGATTTTGCGGATCGTACCACTTGTGCCGATCGTCGTCCGCACCAAAGTCCAACTGTATTCGGACCTATCATAATCAAACAGTAGATGAATAATCCATACACTTCTCATACGAGGATCCGGGGGATATCCACATGGGCGGCTGTGTAGGCTACACAAGCTTGCCAATCATGCCGATACGCGTAAACTGTCGCAATCGGAAGCCATCAATCATGCTACGACATGAAATTCAGATCTGTCCCGAGAGGAGCAAGGACATACTCTTCCGTTCAAAAAGATCACGGGTGATCTGTTCGGCCATCCACTCAATCTTCTCTTTGTCAGCTCGCAGAGGCGGATGAAAAGAATCCTTCCACTGTTCACTAGATCGCAGATTCCGCGGATACCGACCGATACACGTCTCCTGTCGTTCTACAAGGTCGCTATGCAACGTGCTGACTGTGCGTGGCACGGCGCTGGTCCCCGCTGTGAATGCCTAGTCAATGCTCCGGGATTCCGGGATAGGCATTAAGCAGTCGAGGGACACCCCGCTCGATGTCGATGAGGATGGAAAGGTCATTGGTGAGAAGAAGGAGAGGATGGGGGATGGGATCGAGATTCGCTTAGGACCATCCCGCGACCATCCTAGCTCTTTTGGGTGTGGAGAGAGCGCTCCATTATTCTCCAACTTCTTTCCACGGGAGAAAGCTTTCTCTCATCAACAAACAACAAAATTTTCACCAAAGAGGGTCGAATAACGAGAAGAGGACGTCTCAACATGTCATGCGGTCGACATATAACAGAACGTTATCACCGTTCCTCGGCCCAGCCGTGATGATCCGGATCAACCGACGGGAGTTTCGCATCAAGCCCCAATGAGCAAGCCTGGTACCTTGTGGAAGATCGTGAAAATCGTGTCTAGGACAACGACCTCTGATTACGGCTTCTCTGTCTATGCTGTAGTCTTTCGCTTGCTCTTCTTGCTGATACTGCTCAATCTCTGACCGAGCAGACGACTTGACTCTTCCGATATGGCGACAAATTTGATAAACGGTTTCTGGGGCGTTGCGAGCACGCTCTTCGGGAACGAATCTGCTCTGCTGCCACCCTTGTTAAACGTCACAGAGACTCCTGCTCCATTGCTGCTCAAACAGGCGCCAACTCTTCTGACGAACCACTGGCTTCCCATGGAAGCAGGATACGCATTGAACAATGATGGAATGTACCATGTAGCAGCCAACACCATGATGCCAGGTTGTATTGAATGGAATTTTCGTGCGATGAGTGCTTACTGCTCTAGGTGTCACCGGCGAGATGATAGACTGGTGGTTCGGCTGGGTGAGAATTTGAAATGCTCACTCGGTTCCTGATATCACATGCTAACAACGAAAAGGTCACGAACACAACTCAATACAAATTATGGCATCCGGTAGACCACGTCTCCTCCGACTGGTCCGGACCACACGGAAACTCTCAGTATGTAGGAGGCCACCATCTCGTCCGCGAATACATCGGCGGTGAACTCCAAACCCTCAAAATCTCCTTCAAAGACCCAGGCGAGTACTTCGGTCCCCAATGGAAGGAAGAGTTCAAAGCAAACAACTACTCCACCGCCGTCTGCGGAACTGTCAGTCTCTGGACCGGTCCGGGGATTGCAGGGCTTCAGATAGGTCATCTCATCCACCTTGTTCGCAACGAATTCAATGGAGCCCGGATGCGATCTAGGTTCTGGCTTGGCGACGTCAGTCTACTTTCGCCTCTTGGTCCTAACGTTCGACCGGCTCTTGTTCCGAAATCGCTGGTCATTGGGCTTACGAAGCACACGGCGGAAGAAATGGGGATCTTGGCGAATATCCTGCCTGATCTGTATAGGTCGCAGATGGGCAAAACATCATGATTTTAGCCTTGGGAAAGCATATAAGCTGTAGAAAGGCAATTCAAGAAGAAGAAGGGGCGGAAGCTAAACATTCAATGCGCATCGACTCGCTAATATTGAGACATCGAATCGGACTCCTAATTACAATTCTCTCAGAATGCCAGTTACAGCCTTATGGTGGAAATAATGTAAAAATTCTAAAGGATTCGAGGCTACGCATTGAAATTCTTTGTGTTCCGTAGTCAAGAAGACGTATTTCTGAGGTCAAATCTCACCTTCAAAGAAATCATGCAACCTTTCTAACCTAGAAACCACCAAAATCTCATAGTCAATAGCAGCATCCATTACATATTCATTCTACTAGAGGAAAGGACACAGCGCTCTTTACCGATCCACTAAGTCCGATTCAAGCATTTTAGAAAAGAAAATTAAAGAATCCCCAAAGAGACAAAAGAACTCTCGCCGCTATAGTAAAAAATTCCCAACCAATCCTCTCCAGGAAAAAAAAAACGCGATGCTCCAAGATCAAGTATCCAGAACAGCGGCGGAATAACAACAATTCGATATTATCCCACGATGACAACAAAATACGCCAATAAACCCAACCCGTCTCCCTCTCTCCCTCTCCCTCCAACTCCCACTCCCAAACCACAACAGTCCCCCGCAGAA